GTAAATGCTGTCCATCGTTGTGTTGTTTTGTCTGTTGGGGTGGCTTGATCCTTGTTCTGTATTTTTTGTTTGATTCTGTTTTCTAGTTTGTCTATTGTCTTTTGGGTGTATCCGTTTTCGTTCGCTATTTGGTATATGATTTTCCGTTCTTTGTTTCGGGCTTCATTGCTGAGGGGTATCCTTAACATTCTATATATGAATGCGTTATACCACCATACCCGCAAGTTCAAACCATCCACCATCACACAAAATGGCTGCCTATTTGTATAAAGCAAAAATTCACGGCCTCCAAACCTGGATAATAGTGACACCGAAAACATCGGCCGCAAAAGCCGAAACCAGTTTTGTAGTATTCAATTAGTATATGGGGAACTGCTTCGAATACATCTTCAAAACCATGTTGAAGTTTTCAGAATGAAGCTATTGAATGCATTTTCCATCTACCAAAGCCTTTACTTGATTTCAATTCTATTCTTGAATTAAAAGTATGCACCTTTCTGCAGTTTGTTATGAACAATGAAACATTTCACTATGAAATGTATTGTACATAGAAATTAACATGACCATTAAACAAGACTTCTCAATAATCTGTTAAAAAAAAAATCAAATTTGCATTTTGTTTTACGAAGGAATAATCACCAAATGACTTTGAACAACACAAAAAAATTCATAATAACTTCATAATAACTACTTATTTCATCAATTCGTACAATCAAATTTGTTCGATTTTTCTGTTATCAGTTAGACCGATTCTGAAATAGCTCCCTTGTTTGAATAATTCCCTGTAGAAACTATTGTGAATTCTTGGAGAAAAATAATCAATTTCTGTAATCGAAAACAATGGAATTGAAAGGGGTATATTCCCAGAAAAGATCAGTTTTCAACAAAGAAAGATTTCGGCGTTCTGTTTCTCCATCTTTACATGAAAAAAATATGAGAATCTTCCAAAGACAGAAAGGAACCGATTATTTTCAAAATAAACTCTTCACATTTTTTTCAATATACACATGGAGTAGAAAGCCAAAACATGTCTTTCCCAGAAAACAATTACTTCAGTTCTAACGGAAAATACCAGAACCCTCATAACTATTTCGAGACTTTCCTTTGATGATAGTCAAGCACAAAACGATTTGTAGGTAGTAAATACTCCAATTACCTGTTTATTGCGGCAGAATGTTGCTGTATTGTGAAGACTCCCAATAGCTTCTTTTGAGAGTTCCCTATTTAATAAAAATGGTAGCAGCCAGGATGTGGGACTTATATTCTGCAACCATTTCAGATAAGAGGGCAGATCTTTCAAATGTAAAACGTAGCCGGAAGATAGAAATAATCCAGTTGAAATCGTTGACGCAATAACTGCTGAACTATTCTTCAAAGGAACTAGGTAAATAAACGCCAGCACAAACATTTGAATACAGCTCAAATAAAGTAACATCAAACCTGTGAACAGAAACATAAGGACCCAATTGGGTGCCTTGAGGAACTTCGGAGGATACCGTGAAGGAAAGTGACGTAAATCCATTTATGGCCACTATTTGTGACCTGTTATTCAAATAGGACCATATCCATCTCAATAAAAAGTAATTCACACCGGCTTTAGCAAGTCTCTTCGATAAAGTTTTGTGACTGATCTGAAATTGACTTACTGAAATTGGTGTATACAATATCAACCTGAACCTGATTATCCTTCATCAGACGATTCTTCAGGTAATTTTGAGACCAAATGTTCATATAAACATGGGTCCGCAAATCCTTCGTTCTCAATATACAGGGTGTTAAAATAATAAAAAAAAAGTTATTCGTAAATATCTTAAATATCATTCACCTAATTTTATTGTAATTTGGTAATATTATTTATGAAATCAAGGAGCTGATTTAGCCCGAACGTGATTCAATTTATCAAGTCCAGTGGCGTCTCGAGCGGGATTTGAAAGAATATTACAAAAGTTTCAACACCAAAAGTTGTTTTTCATGTTGAACATACTCCAATGGAAAATATCTACTTCATTATACTCACCTATATAAATGTAGAATCCGTCGTAGTTATTCAAGCTCTGCATGAACAGTCCACTCATTGAATAGCTTGGTACTACGTAAATTAGCCAAACGAAGAGAGACGGAAATAGGTTCAACAATGTCTGAAAATGAGCAAAAAATTAAATTGTGATTCATTACATGAAACTTGTTTTCCAAAATTTTTAAATATATCAAATTGAAAGGGGAAAAACTCTTTCCCAATTTTTGGGAAAGAAAGGCTCTGGCTTTCTACTTCTCCTTCCTTTTGTGAATAATGTGTGAATATTTCAACAATACTCCAAAGAGGGTCTTATCTGAGCTTTATAAAGCATCAAAAGTTGTTGAGGTCTGGTTCGGAAGAGAGTTCCGAAGTTTTCGAGAGGCAGCTTTTACAACTCCAGCAACATAATTGTTTCAAGACATATTGGTGTCCATAACTTCTCTGAAGAGGTGAGATACCTTGGTACTACGCTCGACAGTAACATGGAACTCTTACGTATACAGTAGAGCAAAGAAAAAATATATGGCTTATGAGTAATATCGAAGGCAAATGAGACGTACATGGGGGCTTTCACTCCATGTGATCACCTCGATCTACACTGCTGCAATGCCCCCATTGCATGTTGACAGAAAGTTCTACAAGCAACGATCATCAAAAAATCATATCAAATACAGCGATTGGCTTGCTTAAATATCACAGGACCCAGAGAATAACACCAACCGTGGCAATGGAATTAAATACTGGTCTAAGCCCTCGGGACCTGTAAGTTAAGGAGGTTGCGTTAATGGCTCTGTTACGATTGCGCACAGCTGGTGTATACCTCAGAGTAGGAATGAGTCAATTGAGGCTGAACCTATGGCGAGAAGTGCCTACTGCGCCACCTCTGCTGCAGGCAATCAGTGATACAATCGAACCTAGGTTTGTGTTTAATTAACCCTACAAAATACAAATAAAACATAACACAGAGTCAGATGCTAATAATGTAATACGCATATATACAGACAGTTTGAAAACCAAAGAAGCCTCACTAAGGCTGAGGAATATGTAAAATGAAGAATGGGGAAAAATATCAGCGTTGTTCAAACAAAACTGGCTGGTATCTCAATCACCCCAAAAAGAAATAACCAGGAAAGACATTTCTGGCAAAAACATAACAATCTGCACTAATAGTAGACAAGATCTATTAGTTTTGAACAGATAATGTGTTACCTCAGGGCTAGTAATAGAGTGCCACCAAGATTTAGCCAGAGCCTCGGTAGATAATCCTGAGGTGGGTTAAAGGGTACGACAGGATTGAAGGTAATTGCATTGCCGACTCTTTAGAGAAGGAAGCGGCTGGACTAAGAATTTTAGGACCCAGTGGCACCTACGGCCTGATAACTTTGACAATTGCGGAATCAGCCAAACGTCACACCTATTCTCATTTCCTGAAGAGATGGGATGAAACCAAAGGATGCAGTCTTACCAGGATCACCCTTTGCGACCTTGAGAAGCTGGCACCAAAGAAACTAAGGAAACACCTCCATAATATGGGACTAGTGGACACATCTCTGAGCAGGATGTTCGAACAGGAAGATTAGACGGTCAGGCATGTCCTATGCGAGTGCCCGGAGTTATCGTCAATGAGAGAATGTGAGTTCGGCGAGTCTTGGCCTACACCTGTCGATATAAAGGAGATGTCTCCCAGTGATCTGTCCATCTTCCTGGAAAGGACAGAATGAACGATGCCCTAGGGGGACAACTCCTCTGGAGGATGTACAATGGGTCACATGTGGCCTAAGTGCACTCACCCTTCATACTCTACAGATACAGATACAGATTGGTGTCCATTTTCACCCCCGAACAACAAATAGAATAAGTGTGCTGTCGTTAGCGAAGCAGTGTATTGGATCCATCGTCATTTTTTAAAAAGTCGTGATAAAGCAATTGAAACGTCATATATGACATTGAAAAGAACAAAACGCCTTACACAACCCAACAACTGTTTTTATAAGAAACCATTTCTGTTAACAACTTTATACCTTGGCTTTTTTCATTGAGGCATTACTGAGGTACACTTATCAGATTGATCATCATACCTTGGTTATTACGTATGTTGTCCTACCATATAGTCCATCCATTATGTCCCTCTCGACGGTGTTTCTATTACTATTGACTTCTGACAAGGTGAGATGTAACAGTACTGGCCATAACATGACACACATAACAGTATAATGGAATCCCTGCCTGTCGTTGAGGATTAGCTGAGGATCAGAAGCAGGAGTGTCCCAAAATATTGCACCGAGAATAAGCGATATACTGGCTGAGAGAATGATCATCTTCAACCAGTTGAGGAAAGTTACTGATTGTGTATATACGATGGCTTTTCTGAAAAAAAAAAATCATTTGAGAAAATCCTAGAAAATCCCGGTTGAGATATATAGATCGAATACTTAAAAAATATTGACCCGACCATAAATGTGGGGAAAATAATGATTTTAGGTAAATTGAAAGGGGTATGTTTTTAGGTGAGATTGATTTTTGAGAAAGGAAGGTTCTGACTCTCTACTCCTCCATCTTGATATAGAAAAATGTGGGTAGTTTCTAAGGAAAGGAAGGAAGTATCAAATTTCAAAAAGGTAACTGGATACAAAGATGTGTTGATTATGCGAGTCTTAAGTTTCACAACGAAACATCGGATGTGTACCAGTGAGGATGACAGTGTTCCATGTGAGTGAAATTTCACTTCTTTCAATCACTATACAGGGTGTTTCATAACTACGGTAGAAAACTTCAGAGGGTGATTCATTGGGTCGTTTTAAGAAACACATCGATTCAGTTGAAATTTGCTTCAGTCATTTGAAGTAATGAGGCGCTTGAGCCCAAACTAGATTGGAATTATTGGGCCCAGTGGCGTCTCAGTGGATACCAGAGCCAACAATGTTGAGAAAGGAAAGAACGTCACTGGCTTTTTGTAGTTTTGAATTCTTGTCGCTTGTGTTTTCTTCATATCAAGCTTCGTTTTGAAAAAAAAAATCACTTTTTTTGCATATAAATGACATTAGTATGCCAATCATATTCCTTTATAGTCAGCTGATCCTGATTGTAAATGCTTGATCTCACATTTCTGTTGATTCCATATAAACGCAGTTCATTAGATGAAAGAGTTCCTGAACAGTGGAGTTTGAGGTGTACTGAGTTGAACCTAAAATTGATGAGCAGCCACAGTCTGTCGCGTATTTCTGAAATACACCGCTCTTGGTGAAATTAAATGTGCCAAGTCACTTTTCCAGTCAGGCGGGTGGCTTTTTTTTGGATAGAATCCAACAACTTCAGGTTTGTTTGGGGGCAGAGCTCCATACATGAGANAAAAAAGTCACTTTCTTTTTGCATATAATCCGAATGGAATGAGCCCTGGAATATAATTTTCAGTGCCCTTGGACAGCAGTTCCAAAAAAGGGTACTGTGATCCAGACTATAGAAGTTTTTGTCCCATAGTTGTATGTTCAATATAAAGTATCTTGAAGAAATGCGCCGTTTGCGACAAGCAATACGGTGAAAACTTCCGTTATTGTGGAGAAACAAGTCGTGGCTTTCGCATTAAGGTGCGTATTCACCAAAAAAGCGAGCACGAGCGAGCATGAGTGAGCATTTGTGTATGTTTGCTCGTGTTCGCTCGTGTTTGCTCGACATATTGATGCCTCGTCCACACCAGAGCGAATATCTTCAAGTTCGTAGTCGTAGTTAATACATTTACTTTGTGCGAGCACCTTTCGATGTACCGCCTTCTTCTCGATCTTTTCTGGACGCGAACAAGCATACGTTCGCTCGCTCGCTAGCTCGCTAGCCTGTACTTACCAGACGATTATTGATGCAGAATGCTCGTTCACTCTTGTTCACTTTTGTTCGCTCGTGCTCGCTTTTTTGGTGAATACGCACCTTTACGATATTGCACCTGCTTAGTCGTCATTGCCTGTTCGTTATTTTTTCGCCAAAACAACACCAAGATTGGAGAGACTCATGAAAGGACGGCGTTTTGCGACGATGACGATTGAGGTGATAAAAACCGAATCGCTAAGACATACCAAAAAGTGCATATCAGAACTGCTCTGATGAGAAGAAAGTTAGCACAAGTGTATTATATCTGGGGTGGACTACTTTGGAGTATTAGTAATCAAATATGAAATATAATGAAGGGTTCTGTATTTGAAACAATCAAGAGAAAATTAATCAAATTCACAAATTTTTCAATAACACCCGAAACTAATTGTTCATTTTATAATAATAATAATGTTTATTCACCATATTGATCATATGTATGTAACAGAGATTCGGCAAATAAACGTAGGCAACACAGAATGAAATTTGGATACGTATCCACAAACACGGTAATTCAATCCAAATGAGAGGATAAAGTCAAGCCCACCGATAATGCTATCAAACCGGAGACAAATTCCGTTTTCCCCACAGCTAGTTTCCTAATATCCCTGGCGGATATCACATTCGAAGCTTGATACCAAACAGTTATGGACTACATCAGGGATGAATTACGATGTCTAACAGGCCCTCTTACAGGTCACTGTTATTTGATTTATCACATGCAGAGACTTGGACTGACGGAAGACAGTTTGTGTCGCCTCTGTTTGGAAAATGATGAAATAGCAGAGCACATCATTTGTGCCTGCCCAGCTGGGCATCGAATCAGGTTTTCAGAGCTCGGCAGAGCCGTACCATCTGACCTGAAAGACTACTCACCTTACAAACTAATCGGCTTCGTTAGGAAGCTGGGTTCATTTGGTCGAATGTGAATAGGTTTCAGCCACAATAAAACCCTTGCGGGTTGCGGTGGAGGGTCGAATAGACCCACTTACTTTTGACCTAACCTAACCTAACGTAATATTAACTTCTTCACGGATAGCTGAGTGCAAAATTTGGAATTCCATTTGATGATGAAGTCTTAAAATCAATTAAGTATGTATTACCTTGAGAGTCACAATCAACATATCCCTCTTAGGATATTAGTGTTTCTTCTTGACCTTCATCCATTTTACTTTCCCATACAGAGTTCTTCTTTTCTTTCCCATGAATCGTAATTGAAATTTATTAACGAAGTTATTATCATCATCATTATTGATAATGATTATTACTTTATTACATTCTTACTTCGATTCACTTCAGAATGATTCCAAGAGTGAATCATCATTTCAGATCAGATCCGACATCATCGATTTAAAATCTGTTTAAAATCTGTTTAATATCTGTTTTTCCGTTAATCAGCTGTCGTACCCCTACGAACGACAACCCTCAGAAGTCGAAACTTGTGCAAGCTAAGGATTAACGAGTTCTTACCTTTTAACGTGTGATTCCTAACACGGGTTGGACGGTAGCAAGTGAAGATCGATCGTTCAGACTAGGGCTTGAACCACCGACCAACACGGCAGTCAATTCGAGTGAGTGAACAAAGCACCCACGCCGAACCAACCTAATAGATCCTGGTATACGAGTGATTGAAAAACCCAATTGGTTTCTTCTTGGTGCCCCATTATCTGATGATGTCTTCAAATTTTGTTTGGAAGAACAATTACAATCCCTTCGTGTCATGTCAGGACGTTTATCTATTTTACCAACCCATGTTGCATTCCACTTATTTGAGTTGTGGAATTGGCCGCGGTGGTAGTGCGCCCGACTCACGATCGGAAGATCGTGGGTTCGATTCCCGCCTCGACCAGATATTTTTTTCGAGAGAATTTATCTGGTTGAAGCGGGGATGATTCTGCAACCGTGTAAGGAATCACACGTTAAAAGGTAAGACCTCGTTATTCCTTAGCTCGCACAAGTTTCTCAGCTTCTGAGAGTTGTCGTTCGTATGGGGGCGACAGCTGATTGTCGGAAAACAGATTTGAACAAACAGATTTATTGAAGAATTCATTAGCAATTCCAAAATTATCGTATATTTTGAGGTGCCCTACTTGACATGACGAACAGGGATTATAAAATATCGATGATGAATTAAGAAGGATGCTGGAACTCATCACTAATAACAGTATAGAAGACGAAACTTGGTTACAGGCATCACTTCTAGTTTCTAGAGGAGGATTAGGAATTCGTTCAGCCACTTCACTTGCTTTGCCATCATTTCTGTCCTCATTTTGCAGTGTTGCCGATCTGATAGAAATCATCTTACTATACCCAAAGCCAATATCTGATTGTGTTTTTGATCGGGGGAAATCTCTTTGGGAATCTAGAAGTGGCCATACAAGGAAAATTGAATACATGAAAAACCAGAGGGCATGGGACAAACCATTACTAGATTAAGCAACTAGTATTTTACTGAAGACAGCTTCACACTTTAAATAAATGAGGCTCGTCTTCTCGCAGTAACTGTGAAAGAATCTAGTGCTTGGTTAAATGCTGTTCCTGTAGCATCACTTGGGACTCTATTGGATGACGACTCTTTCAGACTTGCCATCGGATTTCGACTTGTATGTTTAACACAGGTGTGGTGCATTTGTGGATGAATCAGCTACTCATGGGTTGAGCTGCCGTTTCAGTGCTGGTCGTTTATCTCGCCATTATGCAATAAATGGTCTAATCAAAACGGCTTTAACTTCAGCAAAAATTCCTGCGATTTTAGACCCCATAGATACATTAGCAACTTGCCAGTCAGCTTCCTGCTACTTCTGCGAAAGCCGGTGCTGCTGCCTCTTTAGGAGTACGTTCCAAAGTACGGAAATATCTGAATTTGGGAAATAATTATATCTTTCACCCAATAGCTGTTGGAACGATTGGTGTTTTTGGCTCTGAAGCCTTATCTTTCATCAATGAAATTGAAAAAAAGGTAACCGATGGAACCCACGAATCAAGAGCCACATCTTTTCTCATTCAGAAAATTAGTATAGCCATCCAAAAAGAAAATGCAGCTTCGTTTTTCGGTAGTCTTCCTGATTTCAAAAAACTTTATGGAATATAAAATAAAAGCAAATGGAAAAAAATACTTTCTCTCAGCAAAATTCTCGAATGGGTTTCAAAGATATTTCGGATTGTTCAGTGATGAATTCTTCAGTCAAAACCTTTGGGTTGAATGGTTTAAAAAATGTTGGTAACACCTGTTTCATGAACAGCGTAATTCAATGTTTATCAAATACGAGATGGTTATTGGAATATTTGAAAAAGGATGAATTCATGAAAGATATCAATACTAGTATTTCTAGTATGAAAGGTGCTTTAATCGAAGCGTTTGCAGAAGTCATCAAAGAGTTGTGGTCGGAAGATTCATTTGATAAAGTAGTAAATACAATCTCCTTAAAAAATCAGATTCAAAGTTTTGCTCCTCGATTCATGGGTAATTCCCATCAAGACGCCCAGGAGTTTCTTTGTTATCTTTTAGTAGGTTTACATGAAGACGTTAATATAATTGATGAGAAACCTGAACCAATTTTAACGGAGATTGACGAAAAATTGAGCGACAGTGAAAATGCACAAGAGACATGGCTCAGATATTTGAGGATGCATAACTCTAAAATTGTAGATAGTTTTGTTGGTCAA